CTTTCCAGGGACATAAAAAAGGTGGCATGTATATGAGCAATCTGCTTTTCAGCTCAGAACACACCTAACATAGCTTGGGTGCCACTTTGCTAGCTATTTCTCTAGCTAGCTAACATATTGGCTAGCAGGTTAAATGAATGATTGCAAAAGTGGAGCTTTATTCATTCTTTATTTAACTTGTTTTGGTCTCCAGTTAAATTAATCTCATCGAATGCACTAATGTGCCATCCTACCACAAGTCCTCGCCAAGACTTTCTAGATCCACCACCAGCAACAAGTACAAAAGAAGTTTAGGAATAAAGTTCATTTTGCTTTAAACATGTCATTACTTCACATGCTAACTAAGTGTTTGGCAGTATAGAGTGAATCTAAGACCAAATAGGTTTGGGGATGCAAAAAATATTACAGTTTTACATAATTCCAGTTTCCACACCAATGCAGATCATAACGGTAATATAAAAACATATTTATAGTCTTTCACCAGCATATATGAGTCAACACACAACACTGTGCTGGGAAGTTGTATTGTGCTGCTTGTAAGTTTAGAAGTATAACAACCCCTGTCCCAAATTATACACACACATGAGCTGAACATGTAGAGAGTCAGTGACAGGCCAAGGGCTTGATCAAGGGGTTAAAAATGGATGCATACTATTGTACTGTATACATACTGCATACAATTTCACACACACACACACACACACACACACACACACACACAATTCCAGTATGTTTGGAGATGGGGAGAGGAAACAGGAGACCACAGCTGAGAGAGCTCCAGTTTCAAATCCTGTGGCAGGAAACGCTGCCGGAGACGCACCCCTCCCTCTGTGTGTGTGTGTGTGTGTGTGTGTGCGTGTGTGTGAGGGAGAGAGCGGCACGTAAGCAAGTACTAAACTTCATGTTTCTTGCTCTTTGCTTCATTCCCCTCATAACATAACGTAGTGTCGTTCCCTGACCAGCTTCACTTAGCTACTCAAATGTATGTTTAGATTTCGTAGGAAAAAGAACATTTTTTTAACAGTTAGCATAAACACCAAAGTAAAGTCTTGGTAATCATAGTCAAGAGTATCACATCCATAGTTACCATGATTAAATACAGTTACCATAACCCATAATCAATGTATAAATAAAGATCATTTTGTTTGAGCATATTAAAAGTGTTTTAATGGCATGTCTCTTAGCGTTACTTCACAAGCTAACATAGCAAGAGTTTGAGTGTTGGTGCAGAAAATATTTTCCTGACCAGTGAAGGTTATAATGTTAATATGAAAAACACAACTTTAATGTTTTTCACTAGCAAATATAGTATAAGCCAGCAAACAATATTGTTCTGCCACTTCTAAGTTTAGAAGTTAAACCAAAAGGGATACGTGCTAATTTAGTGTATGCTGAGATAATTAGCGATTGCGTAAACTATCTCTGAACTCAAAAACATGATTTCCAAATGGTTAACATTTTTCAGTAACATTTTTCAGTCAACTATATAAATATAGTTACCATGATGCACCATGGTAAGTTTATTATGTAATAAACACAGGTTAGATGAATTGCCACAATAAACCATGGTGGTGCATCACTGTAAGTTCCTGTACAGGTATACTTATTATTGATTTGTGGCAACATGGTTCATATTAGTTAGTCACTGTGGGCTTCAGTCTTCACACACACACACACACACACACACACACACACACACACATTAAATGTAAGGATATTTCAACTGAGTTTCAGGTTTTCTTTCTTTTTTTGCCACTCTTGTCCCATTTGTACATGTGCCCTAGATCTGAATGCTTTCTGGCTTCTTACACACACACACACACACACACACACACACACACACACACACACACACACAGTGTTCAATCAGAAAGACATAGAGAGAGAGAGAGAGAGAGAGAGAGAGAGAGAGAGAGAGAGAAAGAGAAAGATCCAAGGCAGTATATATAAATATATATATTCATAGTCTTCCATATCTCACATTCCTTCCCTTTATTTTTAGTCAAGTCTCTCTCTCTCTCTCTCTCTCTCTCTCTCTCTCCCCTAACCTCAAATGCAGAGAAAGTGTGTGATGTGAGTGGGTCTAGTGAGCTTGATGGGGCAGCGCAGAGCACCTCTCTCCCTTTCTCTCTCTGTTGAAAAATATAAACAATTTGTCCTCTGCTTCGCCTTCTCGTTGTTTTCCCTCTCTCTCTCTCTCTCTCTCTCTCTCTCTCTCTCTCTCTCTCTGTCTGTCTTTCTGATTGAACACTATTCATTTTCCACTTCTCTCTTACTCTTAGTTTAACATTACCCCATCTTCACTTCTCTTCTTGTGCTCTCTTTCTCTCTCTTTTCAGTGCCTTTCTCAATGTCTTTCCACTTTCTCTTTGCATATTTCTCACACAAACTCCTTCTCTCGCTTTGCCACCCCCCCCTTTCCGTTCTCCAGCACTCTCGGGCTGCAGAGTGCATTGCAGCGACAGCTGCTGTTATAGTCATCAACTGCAGCCTCCACGGCAACCGTTACCGTGGGGGAGAGTGTGCGCGGTGACGACGGATATCTTCACGGAAACAGAAAACCAAGAGATCGACGTGCCACTCATTACCATGTTATTTTATTAAAGTAATATAAGTGCAACTCATACAACAGCATTATAACTGAGTTATTAAGAAATGTGGTCATATGTTCATTGTTTTCATGAGAAGATTCCAGATGAATGGAGTTCACTTAGTCTGAGGTTAATCTTTTCTGATAGCTCGGAGATTATGAATTATGACACAATGTTGACGTTGTTCAACGCGGTTTGCACCAGTAAAGCGTGAGCTCTGTCGTGGCCTAGTTTGAAAGTACATGATCACTACGTTCTAGTTAACGAGCTACTAAAAAGTGAACAGTTGCACCAGATTGCATGGTTTTCACATAGCCTTAAGTTATAACTTAAAAGTTAAACCTGCCTTCCAGTAGGTGTAACGTTCACCATAAATAACTGAAAATACTCAGTGATTCTGTTTAACATGAACAGTGCTGCCATACAAAGAGCAAACAGAGCATTTGCATCCATAAATCCATTTTGTTTGCAACCATCTGATGGTTTATATTCACTGGACAAGGGCACCTTATAAACAGAGGGATTGTAAGACTACAGATAGGCTATTTTTATATCAGACAGCGTAGGGAGCTTTTCCATTGGTAGTGCAAAATGTCATCAAATTGAGATATCGACAGACACCACTAAATATTTGTTAAGTTTACCATTAATATAATAATATACTGTAGTTTAGTGTTACTTATTTTTCATTGCTATGGTTTGTTGTTAAAATGCTGTTAAATTTGTGCATGAGAGCCTAAGCAGCAGAACAGAACAAGCTCATACTGATATAAAACCATCAGCTGCTACTTTATTGTAAAGCACATTCCTTATTTATTTTTTTAAAATTTTATCTATGGTTAAAATGTAACTAATCTGAAGTATATTACACTGAAAAAACATGACCACTACCCACTTCCATGTGTCTCGACATGTCTCGAGCATGGACGAAGTGGTTCCTGTTTATGTCAGATCGTGTTACTGATTGAATGCAGATGGTGAAATACGGATTTGTGATCCACACTAAGTGTGATAAGATCAACATAATCAGTTTGTATAAATTCAAACACTTGAAGTGATTGAAGTATTTTGTTCAATTTCATACGAATTGTCATAGGTATGAACCCTGGTATGAACGTGGTATGAAAGGTATGAACCCTGACCCTGTCTCAAACCTACTTTTGTTCAAGTTTCATATGTTGTATAAGTTGTGTGCAAGTAAGAGTAATTAAAGTATTATTTTAGTCATACTGAGTCTTTTCTTGCTAATTACCAACACATCTCAGGAAAATGTTCACATTTTTTTCTTGAAGGTTTTCTCTCATTTCCACTGCCTTTGTACCTTTAGACTCTCTGTATAAATAACATAGTTAGCTAATTCATCGACTTCATTTATCAGCTATGCTCGGTGTCCATATTTCCCAGTTGCCTAGCAACAGTGTTCCTACAATTTTAACATCTTGTACGGCGAGCCAGCCTATTTTGTGTTTACCTCCAATTTGAATGCACCAATACCATCAAATTGCTTCAATTGAAGAGAGCATTAAAAGTCTGTAATATTGAAGTCTGTAGATAGAAATGTCTTAAGACTGAATCCTTTTTTTCTGTCTCTCATTACACAAACCTATACAGATGTAAATGGCAATTACAGGTACAGCATCTTAAATAAACCTTGTAGATAGTATATATACCATACCACGACACCATGAGAGAGTCCAATACAATATTTAATTAAAGAAAGTTCATAATGAAATCCATGTTAACCTTTATAAAAAATGGATCTTTTTGTATTTGTTGACCAACTTAATGTTTTCCCATTTTCCTTAAAACCATCAGTGACTTGTTGCGATGTGTTGTGAGGTTCAGATACAATTACACAATTGATATGACAGCTATAAACCCAAGATAGATTCATAACTATTGTAAAATCATTTTGTTCTGCACTGTTTTTGCAGAGCACTTGTATTTGTGTATTTTGTTTAATGTGTTACACTTGTTTGCTCTCAGCACATATATCTCAGAGAATAGCCGCGCTACAATGCTAAAAAGCTATAAAACTCCTGCGCCCTTTTCCACCCCCTCTAGCTTAATGTCATAGTGTGATATCACTTAACTTATCCATTATTGCTATTTTAATTCCATTAATATTTGAGATTTATGCACTTTTGCCTTGGAAGCAAACTTATGTTAAATTAGTAGAATGGCAAGCTAGTTAACTGTCTAACTGGTTTATTTGGCTATTTCCATCACCGGAATTTATTCTCCTAGTGAAGTTAGTTTTAAGGTGTTTTTCTGACACTGAAGATTATTATAATTTATTCCACAGCGCTACTGAGGTCTTCATTTTGATTGGTCAGAAGGTGTTGATTAATTTCTATACCAGAAGCTCTGAGAGTAGTGCCAGCTGTAATTCTGGTACTGGGGAGGTGGTGGTGGTAGCACAGTGGTTAAGACCTTGGACTTCTGATCAGAAGGTCGTGAGTTCAAAATCCCACAACTGCCAAGCTGCCACTGCTGGGCCCTTGAGCAAGGCCCTTATCCCTCAACTGCTCAGTTGGATAAATGAGAGAAATGTAAGTTGCTCTGGATAAGGGCATCTGCCAAAATGCCATCAATGTAAATGTAAACTGGTAATTCGATACTTGTCTGCCGTGCAAGTCCCTATGAATTAGCTGTTAGTACTGAAACTATCAGGACACAGGGACCTGTACGGCAGACAATCTACACAGTCTAAGACAAATAATAAATGGATAAAAATGTACTTTTATTGAAGAAAGAATAATCATTGATATGGTGAAGTTTGTTGTAAGGAAATGTTTATTTAACATTTATGGAAGAAGTCTCCAGTGTCAGTGCTTTGTAGGACATTTTCCGCCACAGGAAAGTCTTCAGGACAGAGGAGTTTGTCTTTCTGGTTGTCAGTAACACTGAAAAAACAAATTAGAGTGAAATTTACTCAAAAAAGTGTGGTAACAATTTCCCAAAAAATCTTATTTCTCAAAAAAACAAAAAAACAAAACATTTTACTCAAACTTGAGTTATATGAACTAAATAAGTCTTAACACTGTAATAAATACACATAATCTAAACAATATCATTATAGCTTAATAGTCATGAACACCTTTATTGATTCCAACCAACACTTCCAACCAATAAGCAAACACATTCACTTCAGCCTTCATATAGACTGAACTGACAAAAGCCAAGACGGCTAGCGAAGGTGTGTACACGTGCACACCATACACCTGACTGAGAAACAAAGAGGGTGAACCAAGAAAGCTTTCCCGAAACATATGATCTTTCAAAACATTTCATAATGTGATAGCCTTAGGCCTTGAAGCTGACACAAAACAAGAAATATAAAAACCAACCCAACCACACCTCTCAAAATTATATCAGTTTAAAGATCTGTGAACGCGTATGCAAATCGAGTTCAGAAACCACGCCCCCACTTTGGAATGGCACTGGTTCAACAGTACTTCAGCAAACAATACTTCTTTTTTTCTAGTTTTGTGAGCACTTGCAAAATAATAGTAAATTTAACTGAGTAAAGTAAGTAAAATATACACATTGGGGTTTAGCCACATATTTACATGAATTAATTTAGTACAGAACTTAAAGCAAATTTAGTAATTCTAATAATTTGCTTTTTGTGTAAAAATCACAGATTTGTTTTTGTCATATTTACTGAACCACTGAATCCTTTTTTTCAGTGATGACAAGCTGTGTTTTTCTGTCTCGTTAACACTGAGAGAGGAAAGAAAGACAGCCTGGCGAGCGAACAACTGTTAATATCTGTTAGATATAAGTCGTAACAGGAACTAAGTTGTCGCACGAATGTTCCCATTAAATGTAGCTAAAAAAGGATACAAAGCATGATGTGTTGTTATGAATAAATAAAAAGAATTCCTGTGGAATCAGAGGAATAAAACCCTTTGAGCCATTCTGTTATATGAAAGTAACTGCACCACCCAGTTGTGGATTATTTTCCTGTAAGAGCATGTCCCATCATGTTTTATTCCTGACCCAGAAAATTCTAATAAAAGACTGACTTCTAATGATGGTAGACTGACTTCGTTCCATAGAAACAAACAGACAGTTGAAGACAAGTGCTATCTGAAAAGCTTTTTTGTTTTAAATTTAAGATAAGAAATACGTAGGGTATAAATTTGTCTAGTCAACCTTAACTAACATCTTACCGCAACCGACCACAATCCATGAAGCTCTTTTATAATTTAACCACTGATGAGATCAGCAGATCTTGCAGTACAGCAGGACAGTATTTCTAATCAGAAATAATAAAATCTGTCCTCAAAGCCTTAAAAGGACCTTGAGGATGCATAGCACAGCTGGGACTCCAACTTTAATTACAAACATATTCTCCTGATTGCAAATTTGTTCACATGGAAAGGTATGAGTTAGTGGCAGTGTTAGCAAGCCCAGCTTTTTAAATCAATAATAATTTGTATGAAACCCAGTCGAACTGCTTTCTCTGATTATAGTTCCTATAAATTCTTATTAGTTCAGATAAGCAGTACTGCTGTGTGTTTGGATTTCGAACTCAAATCTTATAGGACAACTACGTGTTTTGTATATGTGGATGTGTGTATACAGTATATGTGTATGTGTGTGTGTATGTATAACGTGTAGGAGGGTTGACTCATGAACCCCAGTAATTTTTTTCCTTCCCAGTATATAACACCCTTAAATTCAAACCCAAATCTCTTTTCAGTCATACCATTAATAGCATTAAGCACACATTAACATGGCACATGCTCAGAGTGTTGTGAAACCAGAGTCGGAGTAACCCGGAGAGTTAAATTTGTCACTCTTGACTGTTATGCCACCTCTGTCCTGGCCATGCTCACGGTGCCAATGTTTGCCCGCTGGTTTCCCTCTGCTGCCCGGAGTGAGAGCTCCAACTAAACACATGCAGATTTATGCGCAGGCAAAGGCGGGGCTCGGCATGTTTTGATGGAAAAGATCTATGAGAACGGCTCGCTCATATGCTGCTAGTCACTCCCTCCCTCTCGCTCTCGCTCTCTCGCTCCCTTTCTTTCCATCTCACCCCCCTCGCCTGCTCCCTCTTTTCTCTTCTCTAACAGCCTCACTTTAATATGTATGCAAATGTGCCTGTCCTCCATCCCCTTAATTGTCTGGCTTCCAGCAGTCAGTGTGTGTGTGTGTGTGTGTGTGCGCGCCTAGGAGAAAAAAAGGAGTGTGTGTGCTGTTTGTATTTTGCAGTGCCTCGCTTTTTCCCTCTAGCCTCCACCAGCGGCTTTGGCGTGCCCATGGCGCAGCTCGGCTTTGATGAGCGTTGCCAGTCAGACCCAAAAACGACCTTTAATGATTATGCACCGTTTAATGAACACTCCCCAAAACACTTCCTGAATTCATTCAGAATCCACTGCCAGGTGATGTAAAAGTGCTGTCAGTGAACGTCGTTATCACTGTTGTTAATACTAACTGAAAGACGTGGGATCTTTTAGATAATGATGTGATGGCAGCAGTAGTGAGGTGTCAGTTCATTAATGCCATTAGTCCTTAAAGGCTCATATTAAAGGGCTTGTCCTTAAAACTGTACATAACATTACCTTAAGTTTCCTATTATCACTGCAGTGATAACAGGAATGTACCCGTCTGATATTAATATTCATATCAGCTAACAGAGATCTATGAGTTGAGATTTTCTTAATTCTATGCAAATTAGGCATGACATGGTAAAGCAACGAATCCTAACTACTGCCTCAAATGATTCCTCAGACAAATCCTGTGGACTGTGTGGTCTGACGTTTCTTGAGTTCCCCACTCACAACTTTACTGTCTACCTGCAATTAGTTCCCATTTACTGTCTGACTCAAAAAAAAATGGAAGAAAAACTTATCACCATGGTTTCATCTTATCCTGTCAATTCTCATTAAATGTGTACAGAGACATTATAAAGAAAAAAAAAGCATGGAAGGAAGTAACAGAGATCGTTGGTGCCTCTGGTGAGTGTATGTACATAGCTAGTACAGTTATCTTACTTTGCTTATCTGCTAACAAAGCTAGTACAAAGCCTAGCACATAGCATATACCTTTACTTATGGAACTAAAAAATGCTGGATAGGCCCCGCCCACAATCTCCAAGCCCATAAGAGACACACTACAAGTGACTTATCACTTGCTAGTGTGAACGTGGGATAATTTGTTATCAGATTTGTGGATTTGACACACATGTATTTTCCAAGCCAATCCCCTGATGTTAAGTGACACAACACAGATCTTACACGTATTACAACATGCCCTAGTCACAGCTGTAATGAGCAACAGAAGCTTGCACAGCGTCAGCTTGGTTACTGTGAACTTAACTGCCAGAACTGTCAGCAAAACTTTACATGTTAAACTCAAGATTTTCTGCAAAAAATGCAATTTAGTAGTAAAGCAGTCAATGTAAGAATCTAAAAAAAGTCACTTTTTTCAGGTGAAAGCTCTGACAAGGACTTCATGTGGGCATTATAGCAGCTGGCTATGTGTTTACTATTTATTACTGTATAACTACTTTTATTAGCATGTCACAGTCCTTACTGTGTTTGAGTGGATCAACCTGCTGTGACATCATCATCATACCCATTTTTATAACATCACACTGATAAAACGGTTTGACTTGGATCATGTGATCTCAAAGCAACTCAGATTGTCCCAAGTTACTTAAAATAGCCTAAAGTTTTGGTTAAAGTACATTAAAGTACAAAAAGACAATATAAATGAGTTAACAAGATACTTTAATATAACCATTATTAGTGGATATTCATGTATAACTCAGTTGGCTGGTAATGAACAGTACATTCTTCATTATTTCCTGATGCACTAAGGACTAATGCATGCATTCATTCATTATTATGAAAGCATCTGTTAAGTATTAATATATTGATCATTTGTGGACTTGATAGTAAAATGTTACCTCCATTTGACAACTACAGTTACTATAGCATAAGCTTTCTTTCTATTAACAGCTCTAGTATATTTATCTATAACCCACCTTTACCTCTGAAAACCTGGGTGACATTTTGTATTCTCAATTTTACTGCTCTTTATTTCTTTTTTCCTGATGTTTCTGGCAGCATGTTCTTTTGAGTTAATAACAAAATACTTGTAGCCTAACAGCTCTTATTACCACTGAACGTTTACATGGAGGGACTCACTGCAAGAGTAACAGAATGCCAGATGCATTGCTGTTAGTGGTGTAACTAAAACCAATAATTAATGAAGCTTAAAAAATAAATTTATTAATTAATGATTTAAAAAAAAGGTACAATCTATGCTGGGCCCTGTCTCTTCAGGTCTCTTGCAATTGTCTGTACCTTCCACCCACCTTACAGTGATCTGGACAAGCATAAGATCAGTATGTAAACTACAGTTCCAGCAAAACTAACAAGTGCTAGACACTACAGTAAATACACAGGACCGTGTAGGTAACGCCACAGTACACACGGAACTGGAGCAGTGTGCAGAGCTGAGTAAA